TGTGCGTTCGTGTGTGCGAATCTTTCTGTTTCCGACCAGGTGAGCTATGCTTATCTAGCTGAAGGCAGAATACGCCTACAGAAGACTTGTTTCAAGTTCTCTCCAACTTTTGCTTTCATCCTCTGTAATATTTATGTATTCATCCTGGAATGGACCACACAGATGCACTGCATTTTTGCTGTATACGCATACAACTTATAACCTATAGGCCTAGGGATCATCATCTGCTTCTTGTCCGTATTCTGCCCCATTCACAACAATTTTAGTTTCGCTTTACTTGACGAAATGAAAACCTGATTATTTTTATGTACTCCAGCTTCGGGACACACCGCCTCCCTGGTCAAGTCCCTTTCCGGCCTACTATCCAGTTCGCTCCTTTTGTTCAACAAGTTGAGTCCTCATTCCCGTCCGGATTCTGATGGTGTTCTCATGCGAAAGTATTCAGCCTACTTGAGCCTAAAGTGCCCTGATGACATCGGGGACCTTTCTCAATTTTTCCACGACTTCACAATGCGTCAGACTTTTGACTTGCTAGCAAACATGGCCTGGTCAACTGAAGCTTTGAGTTCCTTCTTTAAGGTCAGTTTCCTGCTTTGAGTTCTATTCTTATACATCTATGTTGCATGTTTCTTTTGCATCATTTTGATTTATCGTAAGCTAACAGTTTGACCGTCGTGTCTGATGAGGTGCACCGTGTGCGCCACTGCGAGATGCCACAGTGACGGCGAATCGCACGTGAATTATACTATAGTGAGATTAGACTTGCTCTACATCTAACATACCCTTTCCCACTTGCATCCACTGTCCTATCCCAATCAAAAATATCGGAACCGGGAGATGGTTGGCTGGCTAGTAGCCCTTGTTGGATCAGGAACCCCACCGGGTGGGCCTCAATCCCGGCGGCGAGGAGCAGGAGTCGGAGCAGCATGTTCGGGAGGGGCTGCTCCGTCATCAAAAACACACATGGAGAGGAGGGGAGATAGATGCACCGTAGGGAGATTGGTATAGCGGACCTTGGCCTCCGTGAGGACGAGTGGGAACGCGACGAAGACGCGTCTGTTGCGGTTCCCCGGGGAGATGGTGCAGGTGACTTGCGCGACTGGAGCCGCCCCTAGTCGTACCGCCACACCTGGCTTGAGAGAGAGAATCCTTGCTTTATTTAAGATGAAAAATCATAAATTTTCAGCAAAAATGGCTCCATTCACGGAGAGCAAAGGATAGGTTAAGTAATGGGTCAAAGTAAAAGGTCATGTAATACTCAAAATTAAAGTTTTACACGATATTCACATCTACTATGTTGAAAAGGTCAGCTTTCAGCTTCTCAATTTTCGCTTCTTCACACGTGAGGTAGCGTGCTAG